GTATGAGGAAATTGATTTTGTATTACAAGATACCCGCTGTACATATTGCACCCACCATGGCACTTGGTGCCCAGTAATATCGCATTGAACAGCTTCCACGCTTGAATTTGGAGTGAATGCCTGATCCGAGATCAAGTATACGATTTGCTGAACTGTGTAGTTCACAAGCTATCCTCACAAGACACCTTGATGTAGGGCTTCTCAAGCGCCACCCCTGAGCCAACCCTGGACTCGCCATCATCCTCCGATAGAGTGTAGTGTCTCGGAACACACACAGAATATTCTGCCCCCTACAGCCGAATTCTCCTCGCTGCCCATTAGGGCAGGGCGACTATCACACTGCGCGCGCCCCTGGGACGAGCTCGGCCATGAGGCTCTTGACGAACGGCGCGAGGCTCGGCGCGCCGTCCCCAGACGGCGTCAGCAGACGAGCATACAGATCCATGAGCTCCAGACGGTCAGTGTACGGGTGCGTGTACAGGACGTACAGCGCCACGCCGAGATGGTACGAGCCCCTCGCGATGGCGATGAGGCCCGCCGAGGGCTGCAGGAGGATCGGCAGGGTCCGGCCGAGCCGCCGGAGGTACAATACCGGATCACAGCGTGTGGGGAGCGCGGGTGCCTGGGGTGCCGCCTCGTCGTCGTCGAAGGGAGTGGGAGTGTCGAGCAGCGGGGCCATGATCTCGTACAGCAGCAGGCATGCCGTCCAGTAGGTGAAGATGAGGTCCGCCTGGACGTAGTCGTCGGCGGTCCAGTGGTCTCGGAGTTTGCCGGAGCGGTCGAAGAAGTCGAGTACAGGTGCGTCCTCGGCGTGCCAGCGCTGCAGGCGCTCGTCGAGCTGCCAGCAGGTGTCCACGAGGTCGAGCCGCAGCGACCGGTGGCTCGGGTCGCCGCGTCGCGCCGCGGCGTCCAGCAGGTCCACGTCCTCGAATAGGCCGACGAGGTCGAGGGTGATGTCGACGACCCGGTCCCGGGAGTTCTTCGGGATCAGTTGCCACGGTACGGTCTGCCACTCTGGGCTGTGCAGGAAGGACCGCTTCCTGGTTTTGAACTGATTGACAATCTGAGAAAGGTGTCAGCCACGAGAAGAGTTCCGCAAAATACTCAGCAGCACTGTGAAGGCCACCAAGAAAGCACTTCTACGCACCAAGTACTGCCTACCGACAACCAGCATCTCGTGCGCGGCACCTGACTGCAGCGAGGCGGGCCCTCTGGACTCCAGGAGCGCGGCCTCGCCGTCCATATGGCTGATGAGCTTGCGGCCCTGCGCCACTGCATCGGCGTGATCCTCGCCAAACATGATCTGCCCGGGTCAGCATGGCAGAAGTGGGCAATTATGCAAGTTATCGAAAAAGTCAGAACTCGGGTCCTACCTCAAATGTGTTTAGCCCCTTGACCAGGATGAGCGCGACGTCACTGGCGGTCGCGGCAGACCCGGAGCCGATCATCCCGGCCAGCGTCCGCGCGGTGCCCGAGTACGCGCGGATCCCAGCCTGGACGAGCGCCGCGTCTCCCGTGCGTCGGCCGACCGTGGCCATGCTGAGGCCGACTAGGACCTTCTCCACGGCCGGGTGGGCCGCGTACATTGTCTCCGCGACCAGCAGGAAGCCTTCGCTACCGCAGTGCTGGTTCGCCAGCGTGGAGGCGGTCCGGCCGTGCGGCAGGTACTCGTGCCAAAAGAGACCGTTGAACTGATCTATGCAAGCCGTTCGGGCGAGGCCGTGCGAGAGCGGCTGCATCGCTTGTCCTTGCTGGTGGCGTCGCGGCCAGACTCTGCTGCCATTTTGGCAACTATTCTCGGGATCTTCGGGACCCAGCCCGCCAGTCCTGCTGTCGCTGGGCTGGTCTCGGCGGCTATATGTCGCCGGAGTGGCCCCCTCGGTCCAGTTGACGAAGATGGTCTGACGGGCATAGCCGGCGCACGCGAGGCCGGCGGTGATGCACTGCGTACACTCGGGACGCCTGCCGTCGCACTAGACTACAGTGAGCTAAAGGAGCCTCTGGCTTGGGAGCTCTAGGGCAGGCAACATGTCCGGCCAGACTTACCCCCTTCCGGCGCCTGCGGCAGGTAACACAAGCTTTAGACCTGCCAGGGACCCCAACCATCGTGCTGGTATAGTCGTTGCTGGAGCGCCGCTTCGTCTCGGGTTGGGTTGTGCTGTGTTCGCCCCGCGCGCAATGGTGACTATTTGGGCGCGGAAGGCAGGGCTGGCGACAGGGTCATTTATGCCACTGCTCCGTTGTGACACTCAGCGACCAGGGCCGCACTTGAAGAATTTCGGAGGCACAACTACGCGTAGGTAATGCGGTGCTGATGCCAAGATGCTTGGTGCTTAGATCAGCAGCAGCCCATTGATAGCGACCGACATGCTCACAGTAACCCCGACGACTTACGGAGCAGGTGATGCTAACGCTGGTGCCTGAGCCGCCGACGAGCACAGCTAATCGAGAAGCCAGGGGCAATCTGACGCCGTGATCCCCACGGCCAACCACAACCAAGCCTGCATCCCTGCAGTACAAGTCGAACTGCTGTCGATCACAGACTTCCAGGGGCTGTACAAGGTGCTGAGATTGTCAGCATTTGCATAGCCACTAACTAGACTATTCCTTGAGTTTTTTGCATATCCACAGTCGTTTCAGCAACCCCATGCAACGAAGCTGGCGAGACCCCAATTACCTGAACAGGAAGCATTCTCCGCTTCCAGCCAATCACAAAGTACTGAGTGGGAGCGACGAGGCTTGCCACCCAGGTCTCCCTCGACGAGACTCTTGTAGAAATGATTTCATGGTAAGCATCGTCAGGCAGATAAGGCAGCTCATTCGCCAGAATGTCTTCGATATTCCAATTATACACATTGGTATGCGGATTCACCAGATGGTCCTGCGGATCAGGCCCTTGAACAGTGTGCCCGTTTTTAGATCATAACTTTGGCTTCACATCGTAAAGAGGGCTTGCTCTGAGTTTCTCTTAAGCAGTTGGTTCGCGGTATTCCGATATTTAAGCCCGGCGTTGTTCGCATAAGACGCACAATAATGCAAGGTGACTGTACCGCAACTCTCTACAGCGTGCTAACCTGCCCGACGACAACTCTCACTCACATCTAACAACTGTACACGAATGCAAGTCAACATGGCGACAACCGACAGACCTCCCCGGAACGGGTTTGTGAGAATGGCTCGGAAGCTGTATCAACCCATTGGATTCTCCAAAGGCTACAACGCCGTGCTGTGGTTCATCTTCAGCGGCGCGCTCTTCGGCTTCACACTGGCACGATTTCCGAGCACCAACGTCTACGGTGTCTTCTGCAACCAGGACGCCCCGGGCCCAAATCTGGCAGCTCCGGGCGAGTGCTACCACTATCTCCAGCCGTACTATGCCACGGGTATGATGCTGCACCTCGCCGGTGTCTTGCCTGCGTCGCTCTTCGCCCTCGTCCAGTTCGTACCCGTCATCCGCCACAAGTACATCATCATCCATCGCATCAGCGGCTACCTTTCCATACTCCTGTCATTCATGGGTGTTGTGGGTGCCATCATGATCGTGCCCATTTCCTTTGGCGGCTCCTTGGAGATTCAAGCGGCAGGCGGTTTTCTGGCGATCATTTTTGTCAGCTCGATCATCATGGGGTACATCAACATCAAGAGGTTGCAGATTGAGCAACACAGGATATGGATGCTTCGTGCATGGTTCTACGTAAGTTGATTTCTGCCCACTTGCTCGGCAGCGGCGCATGAATGACACGCTGACTGACTGTATCTCTGTCAACCCTCAGGCAACCTCCATCATCACCCTGCGGATCGTCTTCATCATTGCCGCTAACATCATATCCACGCGCGGGCCGTTCTTCTCGAGCATCCCATGTGGCCAGCTCGTCTTCACAATCGGCAGAGATCTAGTCCAGCAGGAATACCCTTCGTGCGCACCGTTCTTCTCAGGAGAGGATCTGTCTGCTCATGCTGCAGTTCGAGCAAACATGGCAAGCCCGAAGCACGCCTCCGAGGCCGCCGCTGCTCTCAATGTGGCCTTCGGCATGGCAGCTTGGATCGCATTCGCGATTCACATGGTCGGAGTCGAGATCTACGTGAGTACCGAAGACCAAGCTTTTGATGCTGCCGGCTTTCATCATCAAGGGCATCTTCTAAGCCATTCTCCCCTCACAGATCAAGCTCACCCCGACCGAGCACGAACGTCTCAGACAGGTCTCGTACGAGCGGCAGCGCAAGGCGGGCTACTCAAACCCCGGACGCGCAGGTCTGACCATCGACCGCTTCGGAGACTCGGAGCGCTGGGTGCCACTCAACGAGAGAGGCGACAGTGGCTATCAAGCCGAGGCCGGGAGCGAGTCTCGTCAAGGCTTGCGCTCCCACCAAGAGTTGGACGTGGCCGAGCAGGGGGGGCAACACGCCCACGTGCATGGTGGCCAGCAGCGATACTCGTCTCTGGGTGAGGAGGGACATCGGATGCCCCCTCCGCACGTCGAGTATGGTGCTGGGATCGACCGCTGATGCGGTCAGACCATACCCGGACCCATGGGTCTTCAGGGTTGATCCTTTCGAGATCGTGTGCCGAAGAACTAAGTGCCGGTATTGAGATACTTACACTCTCATGCCGCATGGGCCTGTCCGGCCCAAGCCAACGTACACAGCCACGGCTTTTTCGATACTAGCGAACTCAAGAGCGCGTAATTGGGGAAAGATGCTGCTTGATTCCCCCGAGTACCTCAACTCGTAGGCGCAGTTTAGAATTGCGTAGTCCCCGCCAAGAATGCCACAGCTATTGTAGGGCCCCGTGGGAAGGAGCTGCCCCTCCATGGCAGGTACTTGAAAGTATTGAGAGATTCTTCGCACCTAGAGTCCGCCGCCAGCCCTGCATCAACGATCAAGTCCTGCCCTTTCGCCTTTTTTCTTTCCTGATCTTTTGACTACACTCTATATAGCTTCGTAACACGCCTGACTCTCATCAAACCAAATCCGACCAGATGACCACATCTGGATCCACAGCTCGGTTAGCTCAGTTGGTTAGAGCGTCGTACTAATATCTCGCCTCGGCGACATATCAAGTAATGCGAAGGTCATGAGTTCAACCCTCATACTGAGCAGTTTCTTTTTGCATTTGAAAGCTATTATCCTGCCTCTCGCGGTATCGAGTGTCTCCCCTCTTGTTCTTCAGACGTCATTATCGTAGCTTGTCTGTGGCGCTGTGGTTTTCTTTTTTGGTAGGTACCTCGTCTTGGGGCGGCGGTAGCCACCGGATCTACTCTGCAGAGGGCAGCCAATGGTGATGGATCGCCACGGGCCGAGACAGACGACCAACATGCCCGTGGCCGAGATCGAGGAGGCAGCCGATCTCACTCGCGTTATCGCAGCGACTAGCTCTTCAGCTCCTGACCACTATACGCACCACTGCTGCAGGCGCCTCAGCCCTACACGGACTTACACGTCTGCATGGCTTGCCAAGCCAGGGCTGCGACCCGTCGCGCTGCCCAAAACATATAAATCCGAGGCCCTGCTCTTTGTCTCAACAGTGGCCACTCATTGGACAGACCAGACGTTCGGTACCGAAACCTAATCTGTGTCCATCCCGTGAGTCTGCCTGATAGGCGGATAGATCAGGTCCTAGACCTCTAGCTGCGATGGCCTGGCCAGGAAAGCTTGAGCTGGCCGGATATGCCTGACAAAAGTCCTATATAATGGCGAGGCCTATCTCAGCGATCAGCTCGGGATTTGATGAAAAGCCCATCGTTCCCCCTCGAGTCTGACTTCCAAACCTCTGCTTGTCTTATCATCAACGGTCTCACATAGCCCACGGACAACAAAGAAACATGCACCTCTCCGATTTCAACCTCCTCGTGCTCGGCGCCGCAGTTGCGGCCGCAGGATCAGTGAGCGATGCTGTCAACCCTGACCACCTCAGCGAGATGATGGCCCGCCGGCAGGCGCTCTTCGAGGACCTCGAGCGCCGCGGGAGCGTCACGGAGGCATTGAACTCGACCTGGCAGAACTCAGCCAATTGCCCTACAGGGCACAAGGCCTGTGGCAAAGGTGAGTCGTTTGCCATTAGATTGAAGCCTCCTTCGTTTCTTCTCTCTCTCTGTCTCTCTCTCCCTCCCTCTCTCCCTCACACACACACACACACAGGCCTTCGCTACCATAGACTTATAGCTGACCCAAGCCTCGTTTTCTCCCCCGCTCCATCACAGGCTGCATACGCGTCGAGAACAAGTGTTGCAACGACGCCCTCGGGACGTACTGCCTGAACTACGAGACGTGCTTCCGGTACAACGGGCCCACTATCCCGCTGGGCTGGGCGTGCTGGTACACCACCAAGAACGAGCCCGTGCCGACCAACGCCGACGGCGTCGGCGGCGCGACCACGACGTTCAACCTGGGCGGCGGCTCGCCCACGGGGACGGGGGGGACAACAGCGGGGACAGGGGGCGGCAGCGGCGGAGGGACTGGTGCCGCGGCTAGGCAGGCCGGCGCTGAGGGAGGGCAGGTCCTCGCGGGCGTGGCTATGGGGCTGGGGCTCGCCGCGCTGGTACCGCTCGTGCTATGACGGAGTGAGGAGATGGGACGATGAGATGGGTTCGATAAGGCTCGTTAATTGGCGCTGTCGTGGTGACAGGGAAGTGTGCTGTACTTCTTCCATTATCAGCAGTGCTGGCGTTCTTACACAACAAGTCTGATGGGAGTGGCAGAATGCAAAGCATATGGAAACAATACTGATTTTGAAGCTGGGCATATCTTATGTACCAAAGTCCGTCGCTATGAAAACACCCCGACGCCAGCCCTGTGTAGAAATGCAAACCCGGCCCTAGAAAAGACAATTACCAAAATGAGAGCAGGTAAAACACAATGCCGCTCTTGTCTCGCCTCAGCCGATCGCCGTGCCAACCATGCGATTCACTTATCGAGTTCGGTCCTGCTCAGCCTCACTATCTCGGCTGGGCGTTGGGCGCGGCCGCAAAATGTTCGTGATCATGTCCACCCAGCTCTCCTGGTGACTGCCAATCCGAACACCTTCCCCACGCTCGACATCCGGATCGTGCTGCTGCTGCTCTCGTGAGCTCGCGTTCGAGCCGGAGAGGGAGTGCTGCGTCGATACGTCGTCGTCATCGCTGTCATCGCGGTATGGCTCATAGCGAGGACTCGAAGAAGAGCCATGTGCGAGCGAGCGGACCACGTCGCCCTTGCAGATCGGGCAGGTCCGTCGTCGTGTTGTGAGCCAAGGTGTGCTAAAGAGCTCGTTAGTCTTGTGGGTCGGCAGCGCGTTATAGAGGCACGGAGAAAACTTACATGCAGTCTACGTGGAACTCGTGGCCACAAGGTAGACTCATGACCTGGCTCACGCCGTCGACGTACTCCTCGAGACAGACGACGCACTCGACCTGGCGGCCCATGTACTTCTTCCACTGGCTGCCACGCTTCTCATGTTCTGGCACCTGAGAACCTCTGGGTTGCGCTGATCGGGGCACAGCGTGTGCTGATTCGGCTTGCAAAACCTCGTCGGCCGTCATGACACCAGTAGTGGTCCGTGAGCGGGGGCGACTTCGCTGAGGCAGCTCAGTACTCTGGAGCAGGGGGGTCGTGGGCGAAGAGCTAGTCGGCGAGGGCAGGCGCGAGTTCTGGCTGGGTGTAGTTGCCACGGTCTGATAAGTCCGCACCGGCAGTCTCTCAACTACGGACTTGGGTGCCCTCCAGCGTCTCCGGCGAATGCGCGCGCGGAGGATGAGTAGGGCATAGACGACGGTCAACGTGATCAGAGGGCTGATTACAAGCACGAGCAGAGTATCGAAGAAGGGTGTCGCGCTGCTCGAAGGGGTGATGACGACCCAAAGACCTTCACGGTGTGGCGATGTCACGCCGTGCCCGGGCTCGGGTATCGGCTTGACTGGAGGGGGGGCAGGAACAGGCTGAACATCGCCTTGCACACTGCTGCTGCCATCATGAGCCCCGAATAGCTTCGAAATAAGTCCACCAGGGCTCTCCTTGAAATTTGATGCCTGGTCCTTGCTCTTGCCAATAGCATCGCGTTCCCTGGGCGGGAGATTGCTCGCAATGTATTCGCCACTGCTTGGCATGATTCTGTTCGGATCTTGAGGCTTCGCTTTGGCGTCGCTTCTCTTCTGCGTAGAGGGAGACCTAGGCGACTTTGTAGTTCTCGTTGAGCCCTTGGGCGCGACATCTTCTTGGCCCTCTATCTCTTCGAATCCGACCAGATCCGGGTCCCGCCAGTCTTGTACTCCGATCTGGAAGTCGTCGGGCGTACTTTGGGAGGATGATTTAGCCGACTTGTCCGCCTTCTTGAGCTTGCTGGCAGCCACTGCATCAGTCTCGTCGCTGAACTCTTCGACTTGTTCCCACTCCAATCGTCCGCTTCTAGGTGGTCTGCTGCCCGCCTCGCCAGACTCTGTAACGGCACCCCAGCCGAACAGAGTAGTCAGCCACCCACTGTGGGTCGAGCTGCTGTCGGAGTCCGCTGTGGATTTGCTGCCTGTGTTCAGGGTGCTTTTACTGTTGGAAGCCGTGGCGGAGCCGGCGTCCTTCTCGTTCTTGCTCTTGGCCGCCTTGTCGAGCGGCTGGGCCTTCACAGCGAGCTTGCCGTGCTCATCCATGACGTTCCTGAACTCGACGCCCGACTGCAGCATCAGAGAGAGCAGATAGGCCGTTGTGCGCGAGGTGAAGATGGACGGGATCGTGACATTGGACGTGTCACCCTTGGCGAACATCTGGATCAAGGGACCGCCACGCTGGTTGTCTCCCACGATCAGAGCGACAGCGCCCCTGCGCTGCGCCCATTTCGCCTTCTCGAGGAATCCGCAGCCTCCGCGGCTGAGGAGCACGATCTTGCCGGCAATCTCGGCACCCTCCTGGATAGATTGGATGTCGGCGTGGCCCACGCTGTCGAGGCCGAACGCATCGCTCTGTGTCTGCTTGATCGGCTTGCCGCCCAGTCCCTGGTGCAGGTAGTCGTCTGTGCCGTCGTCGAGCGGGATTGGGGCGGGCTTCGACTTGGCGGTGATCCCGGGCGCGGGCATCCGGTCCACCAGGGAATCCTTGAGGCTGTCTGCTGGGCCGTGTCTGCTGTGGCGACCAGCACCGCCCCCGGAGCCCGGCTTGAGCGTGAAGACCGAATTTGTGCCGTCATCCCAGTTCGGGGCGTCGCTGCAACCACGCTCGCCCTCGCCCTCGCCATCTAACAGATTCTCCTCGGTGAAGCCGCTGCCGATCCACAGCTGCCCAGTCAGGCCATGAGACGGTAGCGGCGGGCCAAACGCAGCGGGTCTGGCGGCAAAGGTGGTGGTATTGTCGTCGGCGATGGTGATGACGGCATTCGGCGGGAAGAGGATGAAGGGCGCCGAGAAGAGAGAAGAGAAGGAACGGAAGTGCCTCGTGGCAACGACAGGCGCGGGTTCGCCGGCGGGCGTGGCGGAGACTGTCGAGCGGACGGTGGCCGAGGCGACGGCGCGACCGAGGATGAAGAGACAGGCGCCGAAGAAGAAGGCGAGGATGGCTATCCTGGGTGGGCGCATGGTGTCGAGTGGGGTGGTTCGTTCGTGGGGAAGCCCTCGAGGGCTGCTTGCGAGTGGTGCTGGAGAGCCTTGGGCGTCGCCGTATTTCAGGCTTGCCTGAAGATGCCGCCGCTGTCTGTCTGCCTGCCTGCGTGCTGCTGATGTCGCTCGGCAGGGCGTGTCGTGGTGGATCGCGAGGTCGAGGGGGTGGTCGTGTCTGGTGTCGCAGTCGGCAGGGCGGCAAGCGGAACCCTGCGAGCCCACCTCTCAATCTTGTGTGTCTGAGAGGGCCAAGCTCTTTCTCTGCCCAGCACAGCAAGAAGCGAAGCAACAAGCAATACAGGAACAAGAGACGTGGTTTACGGAAGGGCAGCCCTGGTTGTGTCCAGATGGGCGGGACGGGAGTGTTATGGTTAAGAGATGGACGGGCTAGGCTCGCGCTGGCGCCGCCCTGCCTGACTCTCTGGCGCAGGCGTTGGTGGAGTCACTTGGGTGCAGTGCCGTCGTCATCACCAGACAGACATGCGACCACCGGTTTCCCCTAACAGCCATCACCTGGGCCCTGACAGTGCCATCGCTGACCTCGT